GGAGAAGAGGGGGGGGAGGGACAGGGAAAAGAGGAGGGGGGAGAGGGGGGGGAAAGCGAACGTACCGTGGTTCTCGGCGGAGGAGACGTAGGTGAGCAGGAGCAGCCCCAGGTTCTCCCCGAGGCCGAGGCCCAGGGTGGCGCGGCAGAGGCGCGGGTAGAGCCGGTGCGGGCTGGGGAAGGCCCGGTAGTGGCGCCAGTAGGCGGCGGCCACCAGCAGCCGCGGCGCCGACTGGAGGGCGATGCAGAGGCGCCACACGTAGCGCTCCGGCGTGGCGGCCCCGATGGCGGCGCTCAGCGACGGCAGGTAGTTGGGCACCTGGCGGGGAGGAGGGGGGGGTCAGCGCGGGGGGGATCCCCCCCCGGGGGTTCTGGGTGAGAGGGGGGTCCCCATAGCCCCCCTCCCCCTCCCCCCTCCCCCCCCCGGGACTCACGCGGCAGTGCGTGGCCGTGGCGTCGGCGAAGTGGAAGAGCAGCGCCCAGGCCACGCAGAAGAGGAAGCCGCCCAGCGGGCAGCCCACCGTCCACGCCGCCAGCGTGGTGAAGCGCACCCGCAGCAGCGCCCCGTCCCGCTCGCGCTCCGACGGCAGCGCCACCGGCAACATCCCGCTCGCCTCCTCGCCGCCGCCGCCGCCGCTCCCGGCCGCCTGGCCCTGCCCGCGCCCGCCGGCTCCTCCTCCTCCTCCTCCTCCCTCGGGCGCGGCGTCGCCGCTGCTGCTATGGAAACCAAGCCCACAACACCCGCGCCCGCCGGACGCTTAGGCTCCACCCACTTCCGGGGACGTAGGAACCTCCGCGGCGTCGCCCTCGCGCCTCCGCCCCCCTCCCCAGCAACAGGGCCGTCGCTTTCCCCAACCAATCGCCGCGCCCCGAGGCGCTCTGCCGCGACGGACGTCAGGAGGGAGGGCGCAGCCGATTGGACGGGGCGACGTTGAGGGTAGAGAGCTACGACTCAGCCAATCGAAAACCAGCGCGGGGCGCTGACGTAGGCGGACGGAGCGCCAATGGGAATCTCCCGAGGAAAGGGAGCGCAGCGCAGCCAATCAGGAGCCCTCGGCGCCCCGACGTTCCGCGCGGGCGAGCGTCGAGCGTGCGTGTATGACGCAGTTTCGCCGCTGCCGCCCCCCCCAATCGCGACCCCTCGAGCGGCTGAGGCGGGTTTCGAAGAGGCGCCGCCGCCCCCCTCCTCCGGCTTTCGGTGACAGAGACGCCCCTCGCAGCGAGCGCTAGGCCGGGCCGCGGGCCCCGAGCCCGACGCCGCGCTTCTCCCCCGTCGGGAGGCCCAGCCTGGAGAAGCGGTGAGGGAGAGACCCGGGGGCTTCTGGGAGGAGGAGGAGGAGGAGGAGGGGGGAAGGTGGGGCCGCGCGGGGTCTCCTGCGGGGGGCAGTGGGCGGGGCCTGTCCGTCACGTGGCGCCGGCCGGCCGGCCGAGGGGAGCGCACGTGCGGGGGGGGGCCCTTCAGTCCCGGGTCGTGGGAACGCGGCCCGCCTGGCTCGTTCACGTGAGCGGGAAGTGAAGCCGTGGGGGGGGGGCTCCCGCGCGTGCATTAACGGGCCTTGGAGGCGGGACCCTCCCCGCGTCTCCCGGGCCCTGGGAGTGGAGCTGGGCGGGGGATTCCCCAGGAAGCGAGCCGGACGCCGAGCAGACCTGCCGTCGCCCTGGTGTCCGGGCAGCTCCCGTGCCTGGCAGGCCGAGGACCCGGAAGCGGAATCCCCGCCGCCGCCGCCGCCGCCGAGAGGCAGGAGCCGCAGCGCCTGCAGGGGTCTCCGGAGCTTCTCGGCCATCCCGGTCAGCGTTGTCCCCAAAGCAGCTGGGCTCCCTCGGTTTGTTTTCCCTTTGAAGACGTTTCCCTTCTCCTCCAGGAAGCCCCTTCGACTCTGGATGGATGGAGGGGAATAATGGATGGGGTTATATTCCTGGGCGTCAGCCTCTCTCTGGGGTCACGGAGGCCCCTTGGATCAGAGTGCAGATGGGTGCGGAGCCTTCTTGGAGCTGCTGGAAGGAAGGACGGTGCTGCAAACAGGAGGTGGGTGGTGTCCTATCCTTCCAGCACCGCTCAACCTTAACGTAGACGGCCTCTTTGAATCCCTGAAAAGGTGACCCTGAGAGCAGGGGTAAACCTCCCAAGAGGCCTCAACAATTCTCAGAGAGAGCGCTAACGACCAGATGACCGACAGGGATAGAAATCCTTCCTCCACCATTCAGTTAGAACCGAAGAAGCTTCTTGGTTGAGAAGCGAAACGTCTTCAAGGAAAAACAACGTCCGGTTGCCTTTTGGAAGAAGCCCCTTTGGGACAGGGGCGTCTGCATTCGTCAGAATTGGTTGGCCGAACTTGGGGTACGGCTGGAGATCTTGAAGTGGTGCGTGTGGACACCAGTTGGTTCGTGTGTCACACTGGCAGAGGAAGACAAGGGTTGTTTTAACCAAACCAGGAGTTTGTTTATTAAATTGTAAGCCACGATTGGGCAGCTTACAAGGTTAAAAGCAATACAGCTATAGAAACATACACACACACACACACACACACACATTTACTATATATGTGCGTATCTGTATATACAATATATTAAATATATACACATATATTTACTATATATATCTATTAGGATTAAAATTATGATAAGGGGGGGGGGGAGAGAAAACAGGATATCCAAAGGGTGAAGTGGGATGTGCTATTGGTCCATTAACCACCTCCAGCATGATACTCCCCATTGGGGCCCCAAGCCAACTGACAGGCATGTTGTCAGGCCCTTATGGAAGGTCAGACAGGTGGAAGCAGATCTCACCCCAGGTGGGGGCAAGACGTTCTAAAGCAGTGGCCCCCAACATTTGGGCATCGGGGACCAGTTCCATGGAGAGAGATTTTCCACGGACCAGAGGGGGCCTGGTTTGTGTGCTGCCTGTATCCCACGGATGGGCCTTTGTTTGTGCGGACCGGTTTCTGGCATGCCGTGGACCAGTGCCATTCCACACACTGGGGGTTGGGGACCCCTGTTCTAAAGGACAGGGTTGATGTGAGGGCAGCAAAGATTATGACTTGTAAAGGGTTTTCATTAGTTTTATTGTGGTTTCTTTCCAGTGTAATTAAAGAAACTAGAATTGATAGAAGAGAATATTTGTAGGTCAAACTGTGGGGTCCTTGGTGCTCTCTGAGCTTGGCTGTTTTCTTGCAGATGTTTCATGACCCAAATAGGGAACGTCATCAGTGCCAAGGTCAGTACGCTGCTTATGTTACCTAGTTGGGCAATGAAACCCTTTCAAAAAAACACCCGCGCTCAGAGAGCACCGAGGACCTCACAAACTCTGGAATCGAAAGCTCCAAAACGCTGACTGTCTATTAGAGAATGTCAGTAACAAATGTTCTTTGCTTGGAAATAAACATTCTTATCAGGCAATGCTAAGGAAACAGAGATTGCCTTAGAGGTGATTTTGCAGCCTTGAATCATTTAAAAGTTGAGCCAGGTGGCTAAGCATAATCAAACTGAGCTTTTCTTGCAGTGATAGTGAAGGACGGACATATAAAAGGCAAAAGGTTTTATCAGCAAGCTTTGGATTTCGCGGTAAAGAGTTTTGTTACATTTTATAGACTAGCAAATCATGATTTCATTAGCCAGTTAACTCCTGGAGGTATATACTTGAATCCTCTTGGGATCGTGAGCAACGTGAGAAAAGGGGTCACTTCAGATTTGAAAAATACCTCAGTCATAGTGGTAGAGCTTGAATTTATAAGTATTGATAAGCTCTATGAATTAGTTTTTCACCTACTTTTTTAACAGAAGTTCAAAAGTTTATGAATTGCCAATAATATTATAGTCTCTAACTTGTAATAAAACATTTAGAAATTAACTTACATTCCTTTAGCTCAGGGGTAGGCAACCTTGGCTCTTTTACGACTCATGGACTTCAACTCCCAGAATTCCTGAGCCAGCATAGCTGGCTCAGGAATTCTGGGAGTTGAAGTCCATGAGTTGTAAAAGAGCCAAGGTTGCCTACCCCTGCCTTAGCTAGTTGGTTTACAAAATGTTTATCCTTTAAATACATCAGTAAAAGGTTTATAATTTGCTTGGATTAAAAATTATGTAAAATATATTCTGGATTTATTTATAGCCACCTTTATTATTTTTATAAATAAGGCAGCGAACATACCTATTACTCCTTCTTCCTCCTATTTTTCCCACAACAACAATCCTGTGAGGTGGGTTGGCCTGAGAGAGAGGGACTGCCCCAAAGTCCCCCAGCCTGCTTTCACGCCTAAGGGGGGACTAGAACTCACCATCTCCTGGTGATTGGCCCCAGATCAGCCAGCTGGCTTTCACACCTAAGGCGGGACTAGAACTCACCGTCTCCTGGGTTCTAGCCTGGTGCCCTAACCACTAAATCAACTTCTGATGTGACTAAACTTGACAAAACACTTCTTTCTGCAGAATACAGCACTTTAATTTTACTATATGCGATATCATTTGTTGATCAGTTAATAATCTTAGATAAATAAATTAAAAAGAGGGGGAAAAGGCCATTGTATGGTAAATTTTCCTATCCCAAGAAATAGTCATAGCCCATGTACTTAGAAGGAATCTTAATCCTTCTCAGAGACGCTGTAATAATCGGGTTTTAATTGCTCTCCTAAATTCCATTCATTTTGGGGTAAATCATATGGATTCTTGCTAATCATCAGCAGACTCTTCTTAGTGTTGGAGCTGAATTCTTTTGACATGCCTAGGAGGAGATTAGAACAGGCATTGTCCATGCTGTAATTGGACCAGTTTAATTTTTTTTCTTTGCAAAGAAAGGAAACTAGGAAAACCAGAAGCTTCTAGTTTATTTTGTGTAGAAAGCATGGGTATATAAAAGATGTTCAGCTGCTTCTGCTTCGTTGATGGGCTAAGCTAGGCTGGGAAGAATTGGGCCTAGCCTGCTCCATTGTGCTTTATAAAGGCATTTTCTAGTAGCCTGGGGTGGCCCCTCAGTGTGTGGTGTGTGTGTGTGTGTGTGCGTGCACGCGTGCCCCCACGCGTGCGGAGGTTCTTTGAAATACGATTGGCTGAGTTTTTGGGGAGGCATTGTGAATGGGAGCAGAAGGTTGACAGCACTGATAAAAAGGAGATAGGCATATAGGTCTCCTCTTCCTGTCCTGAGTCCAGAAGAGAAGTATTTGTGACATTCTGGAAATACTTTTACCATAAAGAGAGAGGAATGTCATTTCTTTATGAATTTAATGTTCGGGACGTGATCTTCAGAGCTTTCGTACTTCTCTGCCGGAGCCCATCCTCAGCAAACTTCTCTCTAGCAGCCTGTGTGCTTTGGGCTGTTCCGTGTGTGGCATTTATATGGTGCCTGTTGCCCCTGTGGCTTTTTTTAGATGTTGATTGGGGTGTTGATGACTGACTATGAAACTGTTGGCTGTTGTTTCCTTGTGTTGCCCAGCCCTCACCTCCTAAGTACTTGGTAAGCTGGTGGTAAATTAGCATTCCTGTTGACTGACAAGGGGCTGTTTCCCAGGCTTCAATCCTTCCCTGGCTGTTTTTGTGCCTGCTCATCCGACAATCTTAGTGGCTGCAACACTGAATGTATATCCTTGCTTAATGCAATGTGAAACTACCAATTTAATGCTCAATTGTTGTTGTTAGTTGCGAAGTCGCGTCCCACCCATGGCCACCCCATGGACAACGTTCCTCCAGGCCTTCCTGTCCTCTGCCATCTTCTGGAGTCCATTGAAGCTCCCGCCTCCTGCTTCAGGGACTCCATCTAGCCACCCCATTCTCTGTCGTCCCCTTCTTCTATTGCAGTGATGGCGAACCTTTTACAGACCAAGTGCCCAAAAGCTGCCCCCACACCACCCCTGTCCCTGCTCCACCGTGCCCGCTGGGCCACCCACCACCTTCACGGCCCACCACAGATCACCCAGCAGCGCCATGGCGGCTATGCCCTCCGCCCGTGCCCCGCAGCATCATCTGCGCGCAATGTGGCGCAAGGGCAGAGTCTTGTCCCCGCTTCCCGGCTACCATGTCCTTGGCTGCACTGGTGACTCTCCTCCAGGGGGGCTGCTGGTGAGGAGGGGGCCGTGGGAGGAGGCGGGGCTGGGGCGACGGTGCGTGTGCCCACAGAGAGGGCTCCGAGTGCCGCCTCTGCCACGCGTGCCATAGGTTCGCCACCACTGTTCTATTGCCTTCATACGTTACAACAATTTCTTTTATTTTTAATAATAGTACCCTATGATCTTTTATTTCCAAGACCCTCAGCAATCTGCTATTTTATGCTTTTGCAGATCTGAGCCAGGTTGAACAGTTTTGTCCTCTCAAATAGCATTTTTCTCTTCTATTTTAAGATGTCCAACATTTTTAAAATCCGTCTTGTTTTAATGCATGGATGTGTATTCATGGCACTAAACCATAGTTTTCTTACATGGCCTAATTTTCTGAGTTCGAAAGATACACCGAAATATATAAACTAACCACATAGCCAAGGTTTCCACCCTGCCCTCGATTGAAGTGGGATCAGCTCATAACTCTGCTGCCACTGATACCAAGATGACCGATTAGCAATTTGCTAGTTAATCAACTTCTGGGAAGTAAAAAAGACTAATAGAAACTCCTTAAATCTGAGTTTGTCTAAAGCAAGGATAGGCAACCTTGGCTCTTTTATGACTCGTGGACTTCAACTCCCAGAATTCCTGAGCCAGCAAAGCTGGCTCAGGAATTCTGGGAGTTGAAGTCCAGGAGTCATAAAAGAGCCAAGGTTGCCTGGTCTAAAGTTTTTATTTCTTCTTCTTTTTTCTCTAGGTTTTGAGACATTGAAATAACTTCAGCATGTTTAACAAATCTTTTGGAACGCCTTTTGGCAGCAATGCGGGAGGATTTGGAACCACCTCGACCTTCGGACAGAGTAAGTGATCCAGAAGGGAGGGGTGGTTGGGCCTAGGTGAGCAATTTTGGGCAGAAATCTTCTACCTTCCCCGTATGCCCCCTCTTTGAATCCACACGCAACGAGGGGTCGAGGTTTTAATTCCGTTTCTAATCTCCTCTCCGATGGAAAGGCTTAAACAACCCATTTTAAATTTGAGTAGTACGTTATCTTTGTGAGCCGCGTAGAGAACAATGTTACCTGGCAGTCTTACATAGAACGTAGAACGTTTTCTTTACAGGCAGTCCTCGACTTGCGACAGTCCGATTAGTGACCGTTTGAAGTGATAAGGGCACTGAATAAAAAGTGACTTACGTCCGTTTTTCAAACTTAGGACCGTCGAGGCATCCCCGCGGTCACGCGATCAAAATTCAGAGGCTTGGCAACTGAGTCGTATTTACGACGGGTCGTGGTGGCCTGGGGGGTCACGTGGTCCCCTTTTGCGGCCTTCCGACGAGCAGAGCCAATGGGAGAAGGCAGATTCCCTTAACAGCCGTATTACTGACTTAACAACTGCAGTGAGTCCCTTAACAAGAAGCCAGACAGATCATAATTAGATCATGATTAGGGGACTAGGGGCTAAAGCATATAAGGAATGGCTGCGGGAATTGGGGATGTCTAGTTTAATGAAGAGAAGGATGAGGGGGGACAGGATAGCAGTGTTCCAGTATCTCAGGGGCTGCCCCAAAGAAGAGGCAGTCAAGCTATTTTCCAAAGCTCCTGAAGGCAGGACAAGAAGCAACAGATGGAAACTCATCCAGGAGAGAAGCAACCTAGAACTAAGGAGAAACTTCCTGACAGTTGGAACAATTAACCAGTGGAACAACCTGCCTCCAGAAGCAGTGAATGCTCCAACACTGGAAGTTTTTAAGAAGAGACTGGACAGCCATTTGTCCGAAATGGTATAGGGTTTCCTGCCTGAGCAGGGGGTTGGACTAGATGACCTCCAAGGTCCCTTCCAACTTTACTATTATTATTACTACTGCTACTACTACTATTACTACTACTACTACTATTATTATTATTATTATTATTATTATTATTATTATTATTATAAAATGGAGCAAAAAACTCACTTCCCGGCTGTCTCACTTAGCAGCGGACGTTTTGGCCTCGGTTAAGGTCATAGGTTGAGGACTACATGTATAACATTAATATGGACGGGATGGGACTGAGCTTTTTATGTAAGGTTCTGTTTTTTAAATGTGGTAAGCCCTCCAAAGGTTTGCCCGTTTTAATTATCGGCGGAGCCTCGGTGCTCAGAAAGACGTGGCTTGCAAAAAAACCACGTGCTGTTTTTTTAAAAAAAGACACTGCACTCTGGCCTGGAAGTAGCTTCAGCCACGGCAGCAGCTGAGCTTCAGCCCTTTGATAAGCTCAGATGCTCCCACCCACCCACCCATGCAGCCCAGCCCACCCCAATCCCCCTCTTCCTGCTTTGCAGATACTGGCTTTGGGACCACCAGCGGAGGAGCCTTTGGGGCGTCCGCCTTCGGAGCCAATAACAATGCCGGAGGACTCTTCGGCAGCACCCAGACCAAGCCAGGTACAGATCTCCCCCCCCCGCCCACCTGTTGTGCCCCGTGTCCCCCTTCTCCTCTGGGGTGCCTAACCAGAGGGCTTCTATTTGTTTGCAGGAGGGCTCTTTGGGGCAAGTACCTTCAGCCAGCCAGCCACGTCGTCCACTAATACCGGTTTTGGTTTCGGCCCGTCCACTGGAACTTCCAGCGGCCTGTTTGGCACTACCAGCACAGGGGGAGGACTCTTCTCAACCCAGACCAATGCCTTCGCCCAGAACAAGCCGGCGGGGTTTGGCAGTGAGTATGGCAAATTCTCTCTCCCTCTCTCTCCTCTTCCTCTCTCTCTCCTCTCTCTCTTCTGTCTTCTCTCTCTCCTCTCCTCTTTCTCCTCTCTTCTCTCCTCTCTCTTTCTCTCCCCTCTCTCTCTCTCCTCTCCTCTCTTCTCTCTCTCCTCTCTCCTCTCTCTCTCTCTCTCTCTCTCTCTCTCTCTCTCTCTCTCTCTCAGCTGGGAAATGCCACCTGCACGGTGCCATTTCCTGCTTTGCGTCCCTGAACAAATCCTGAAAAACGCTCCTGAGCCTCTTTGTGGGAAGAGTCCTGTGTCCCGCTGACAAACTGAGGTTTGTAAGGTTCACAGAGGTTGTGTCGGGCACAAGGAACTAGAACAGGGATAGGCAACCTTGGCCCCTTCATGACTCGTGGACTTCAACTCCCAGAATTCCTGAGCCAGCCATGGCTCAGCTTGGAAACCTCTCCCTTTCCCCTCAGCTTGGCTGGCTCAGGAATTCTGGGAGTTGAAGTCCAGGAGTCATAAAAGAGCCCAGGTGGCCTACCCCTGGGCTAGAACAACACCAACACTACGAGCTGATCAGAGAAGAGTCTTCATTGCTTACTGCACCATATTACAAGAATCTCCCCAAACTGGACTCCGCTCTCTTGAGAACAACCATATAAAGGGTTTTAGGGGAGGGGGCTCAGGTCTCCCTCGTTTCCTCCCCGCCAAGGATTCCCAGCTAGCCAGTCTCTCCACCCACCCACCTCCCACTCCGGCTGCAGATTCCGCCATATCCCGATTGGAAGCTCAGCTTCCTAACTCTAGTAAAATAAAAAATAGATGACCCAGCGTGTGAACGGAAGAACCTGTTTGGTCCAGGAGTCGAAATCGGCGTGGTTAGAAATATAATCTGAAATACTGTAAAACATCCCATCGCTCTTCCTTTCCCACTTTTGATCCCCATTGTGAGGTTCGGCCTCCTGCTGGATTCTCCTTTCCTTTCGTTCTGTCCATGCTCTTTCAGCCAGCAGGTGCTAGTGAGGACTCTGTTGAATCAGTCAAGAGACCTTGACCTTGATCGGATGAAAAATTTAATTTAATAAAATGAAATGTATAACATGAAGAAATAGTCCTGCAAGACAAAATACGTATAACCTGCTCATAACCTGTCTTTAAGACCAAAGTCCTTGACTGGATGTACAACATGAAGAAATAGTCCTGCAAGACAAAATAATCATAACCTGTTTTTAAGGCCAGCTTTAGTGGAGTAAACGCAGCAAGGGCACCGCCTTTTCTGTCAATATTGTAATTGCGTATAAGCTGGAGCGTGCACCTTGTTCGCACCCTGAAATATTTCAGCTTGTACGTAGTATCTTCACAAAGTTCATAGTGATGCAAAAGCGGCTTGGGCTTGAAAAACATGCATTGTTCAGCTGATAACCTTGTTCATTAGGAAGAATTTATTTATCGCTGTCTGCTCCACGGAGGGACTCTGGACAGTGTATAGATCAAATGAGAAGAACATAAACACAATATAAAAAAGTGAGGCGAGAATAGTTAACATTTGATATTAAAGGTTAGCTGAAAAGTGGGGATAGGGGGCTTTAGGGCATTCACCAGCCCCACAGCTCCTGTATTCTAAAACTCTTGGGGATTGGGTTTTTTTTTTTAAAGAAAAGATTCCAGGATTTAGAACAGGGCTGTTTATGGCTGTCGACCAGAATGCCGTTTCCCAGAAGTTTGGATAGATTGAAGGAAGCGGTAGGTCAGGCCAGCCCTTGCGCAAAGAATCGGTTCAGACCTTTGCTGAGAGCCACTGGCCTTTCTCTGCTGTTTGGGTGGGACAAAGCGTCAGCAAGAGGAGAAGTAAAACACCCTTCTCTTCCCTTTGGCCCAAAAGAACCGGTGGTTTCTACATCCTCTAAGGCAGGGGTAGTCAACCTTGGCTCTTTTATGACTCGTGGACTTCAACTCCCAGAATTCCTGAGCCAGCACAGCTGGCTCAGGAATTCTGGGAGTTGAAGTCCACGAGTCATAAAAGAGCCAAGGTTGACTACCCCTGCTCTAAGGAGACTTCTTAGAAGGCAGAACCCCCTGCTGGAACTCTTAGCAAAAATGGAACCTGCTGGGTGGAACCGTCTTTCTTCCTTGCCTCCCGCAGAGGACAGAGAAGGCGGTTCTCTTTCCCACCCCCAGACTTTTTGGGAAACTCCGCACGCGCTGCGTTCTCGGTCCCCCCCCGTGGAAGTCAAACGGGCAAAGAAATTGCCTCTATCCCTGAACATCCATCCTTGTTTGTGCTGGCCCAGAACCCAGTGCTGCTTCATTTAAAATGTTCTAAGTCAGTGATGGCGAACCTTTTAGAGACCTGCAACCCAAAACCCACTTATTCATCGCAAAGTGCCAGGGCTGCATCAGCATTGTGGCCCACTGGCGTGGCCCACTGGGTGGGCGTGGCTGCAGTGGTCACGGCAGACTGGGTGAGTGTGGCCGGGGCCAGTCCCTCGCCATCTCCAGGGCATCCCCGGGAGGGGGCCAATGCCGCTTGCTCGCTCACTTCCTGCCCCGTTGCTTCCAAACGCCACGTGCTCGCTACTCTGGCGAACTCTGCTGGGGCAACGGCGTGTGTGCCCACAGAGAGGGCCCTGCGTGCCGCCTCTGGCACACGTGCCGTAGGTTCGCCATCGCCGTTATAAGTTCCGTCTGCTTTCTATCGGATATTCGTTGCGTGAAACAAAGTTTAGCTTTATCTGTGATACATTTGGACATGGCTTTTATTTATTTTATTATTATTATTATTATTATTTTTACAGATTTTGGGACAAGCACCAGCAGCGGAGGCTTGTTTGGCACCACTAACACAGCCTCCAACCCATTTGGGGGCACATCTGGCTCCCTGTTTGGGTCAACCAGCTTTTCCACCGTCCCTACCGGCACCACGATTAAATTCAACGTAAGCCCTGTTCGCGTGCGCTTTTAATTCATTTCATTCTTCTGAGCGGTGTATCTGAAGGCCATTCCCTGCCATCGATAAGAGAACCAGACTTCATATTTATTACGATCCCCGTGAAGCTGACTCTCCTCTCTCAGGCAGCTGTCCTTCCATACGGGCCAGCATAACGATATTTAATTTAGGGTTGGGAAGTTCTTGTCAAGATATACCTCGCAGGAACGTATGCTGGGGGAATCTGGATCAATTTTGCTGCTCTGGAGAAGCCGATACTGAATGTCCTATATAAATTATTTGAAGAAGGGAGTCTGAGAGTAACGGCCGTGCCTCTCATTGTGGGATCCTTGTGTGCTCTCTGAATTGGGTGGTTTTCTTCCAGACATTTCATGACCCAACTAGGGAACCTTATCAGGGGGGGGTGGGGGGTTTGCTCTCTGTTTACATGCTAATGGCCTGCCCTGTCAGTGTTGGGAGTTTTTCAAAGGTTTGTTAATTGGGCTGTTGTTTACTGCTTCTTAGTCTAGTCCAGGGGTAGGCAACCTTGGCTCTTTTATGACTCGTGGACTTCAACTCCCAGAATTCCTGAGCCAGCTATGCTGGCTCAGGAATTCTGGGAGTTGAAGTCCACGAGTCATAAAAGAGCCAAGGTTGCCTACCCCTGGTCTAGTATTAATTTTGAGGTTGATCTCTGCTTAAATGGGCATTAATTGCTGGCGAGGGGAAAAGCCACTGTATAAAAACAGAGAACAAACCCCACTCCCTTCTAGTCTAACAACTGAAGACGTTACCTAGTTGGGTCATGAAACGTCTGCAAGAAAACCACCCAGCTCAGAGAGCACCCAGGACCCCACAATTGAACCCTGAGCTACAAATATGCTGCTGATGTCTTGAAGAACGGCCGTGACGCTATGACCAGACGTTCTTCACGCCTAGAAACTCACACCTCAAACCAAGGCAGGATAAGAGGCCGGTCTCTGAATAAGACCTTGGAAAAAGCTGCCGCTGGCTAGGATAGATGGCCCCGAGTCCAGTGCCCACCCGCCCGCCCCCTATTCTGCCTCGGCCTCTGGGGGGTGCTTCGTTGGCGTTGCTTTAGGAAGGGCAGATGCCCCTTTAAGGGGTGGGCGGAATCGCCATCCTTCGAGGGTTCTGTAGCAGTTGATGAAGTAGAAGATGGCCAGGTCGGCTAAAAGGGGGGTCTTCGGCCTCTGCAGAGGGGGGAGGTGGAGCTTTCCTGCTCACATTCCATCTGAAATGGCGGCGGCGGCAGACGGGGCCAGAGCCCTGAAGGCTGCCTTCCAGGTAGAAGAAGCAGAACCCAGAGCCCAGCGTAGGCAAGGAGAGGGTGAGACCGACCGTGCGGGACAAGGCCAGGGGCATCCGGAGGGCAAATTCAGCAACCCTCAAAAGAGAGGCGGCCTGCTTGTTGGCCGGGACCGTTGCAGGATTTCCTGGGTCTCAGATCAAGCCTTCAGCCCTTGCAAGCCCACAAGGCACCATCAAAAGCCTGGCTTCTTCCAGGACGTGCATCCCCAGTGAGGGCCTTTGTCGTTTTCCTTCCAGGCACCCACCGGCACGGATACCATGGTCAAGTCTGGCGTCAGCACCAACATCAGCACCAAGCATCAGTGCATCACTGCTATGAAGGAGTACGAGAGCAAATCCCTCGAGGTCAGTGTGGGCGCTGGGCCTCGGGGTGCCCTAGCGAAGAGGGGAGCGAATCTCTCCTGCAGAGCACCTGAGGGCAGGCCAGGAAGCAACGGGGTGGGATCTAAGCAAGGAGAGAGATCCAGCCTAGAACTGAGGAGGGATTTCCTGACACGGAGAACAATCAACCAGTGGAACGGAAGTTGCCTTCGCTGTCAACGCTGCTAATATTGAATATTCTTTCTTTGACAAAATATGCAGGACTGTCTGGTATTTTTAGAGTTCATTCAGAGGAGAAGGAGGGAGGAGAGAAAAGCCCACGAAAGGGAACAGGAAGAGAACCTTTGCCCTTCAAACTAATTGGAGAATGTAAATCATGACAGCAAAATAAGGGAGGGGAAATGCTAGCAAAATAACTGCTGGGGGGTGGTGGAGATTTCAGATCTTAGCATGATGTCGGGGTTCCGGCTAATGAAACACTTCAGAGAATTTCCAGGCGTTGATTTTCCTAAAAGTCTTTTATTTATGTTACAAAATGGCATGACGAAGGGGATGCTAAGATCTGAAATCTCCACCACCACCCCCAGCAGTTATTTTGCTAGCATTTCCCCTCCCTTATTTTGCTGTCATGATTTACGTTCTCCAATTAGTTTGAAGGGCAAAGGTTCCCTTCCTTTCCCTTTCGAGAGCTTTTCCCTCCTCCCTCCTTCTCCTCTGAATTAACTCTAAAAGTACCAGACAGTCCTGCATATTTTGTCAAAGCAAGAATATTCAATATTAGCAGCGTTGACATTCGGAGGTTGTGGGTGCTCCCATCACTGGAGGTTTTTAAGGGGAGATTGGACAGCCATTGGTCTGGAATGGTAGAGAGCCAGGGGCTTGGACTAAATGACCTCCAAGCTCCCTTCCAGCCCTATGACTCTATGATCCACCCTTCTTAAAACGGGGGGATTCTGGGAGATCCAGCCTGGAAATAGGGAGGAATTTCCTGACAGTGAGAACAATGAACCAGTGGAACGGAGGTTGTGGGTGCTCCCATCACTGGAGGTTTTTAAGAGGAGATTGGACAGCCATTTGTCTGGAATGTTATAGGCTCTCCTCCGAAGCAGGGGGTTGGACTAGAAGACCTCCAAGGTCCCTTCCAGTTCTGGCATTCTCTATTCTGCTTGAATAAAGCCCAGTTGGAGGGATTGGCACAACTCTTTGGTCTCGTTCTAGCTCCGTTGCACCTTTGCCCAGTGTCAGAACAGCCACCCAGGCTTGGGAGCCCTCCCCTTTGAGAGCAGCATCCCCCTCCCCTTTCCAGGAGCCCCCTCCCCCCCATTCAAAGGCTGCTTCTCCTACTTTTGGAAGGCCAGAGCACGGGGAATGTGTTCATTCAATGTTTCTCCCTCCAGGAGCTTCGCCTGGAAGACTATCAGGCCAACAGGAAAGGCCCCACCAACCCAGTGGGAGCAGGGGCCACCCCGGGCTTGTTTGGATCCTCCACCGCTACGTCCAGCACAGCCACAGGACTCTTTGGCTCCTCCACCACCAACACGGGCTTTTCCTACGGGGCAAACAAAACGGCGTTTGGAGCCAGTAAGTATCCCTGGGCTGGTCTTGCTCTGGCCAAGCTGGTAAAAAAAACGGCTATCGACTCTCGCGGTTTCTGGTCTACAGAGTTTCCCAACCTGGGCCACTTTCAGACGGGTGGACTTCGACTCCCAGAATCCCCCAGCCAGCAACGCTGGCTGGGGGATTCTGGGAGTCGAAGTCCACCCGTCTGAAAGTGGCCCAGGTTCCCCTATCCCAGGGGTGTCAAACTCAATTTCATTGAGGGCCACATCAGCATTGCAGTTGCCCTTGGGGGGCCTACTGGGTGGGCGTGGAAGGAGTGGGTGTGGCCTACTGGGTGGGCGTGGCCAGCTCTACATCATTCGCGTCAAGGGTGCCTGTGGGGGCCTGGGCAGGAGTGGGACAGATCTTAGGGTCTCTGGCAGAAGGGGGTGGGACCGGGGCAAGTGCCAAGGCAGGGTCCACTGGAGGAGCCTCACTGTTCCTCTCAGGCCATGCTGGCGGACCTGGATGGTGGTGCGGGCTGCCCGGAGCCCTGGGCAGCAGAGGTCAAATGCCCAGCCTGGCCCTCGAGCACCCGTGGCACCAAGCCCAGCCCCATTTCCCCAAGGGGGTGCCCAGCTGCACTTACCTCCTCCTCAAAACTGCTGCTGTGCTTGCTCTCCTTAGCCAGGTTGTTCATGATGGGTACCAGGGCAAAGTCAGAGGGAGACTGAATGCGTTTCAGCATAGATGGCAACCACAAAATTGTACATTGGCTCCCGGCCGGCCAAGGCCAAGGCAGCGGGGGCCGTTCCCTCACTGTTTCCAGGATGGCTTCGCGGGCCACATGACACCACTTCACGGGCCGCGTCCGGCCCCCGGGCCTTGTGTTTGACATGTCTGCCCTACCTGAAGTGGTAATCCTTTTATCGCTGTATCGAGAGTGTGTCGTCCCAAACCACCAGATAATATCGTCCAGCAGCTTCAGGCAGAGGGCAGAGCGACCCAGCGGCGCTGCCGTTCGAAGCACACCCCCTCTGGGTGCTTCGAACTCAGAGCTGGCTCCAGGTGAGAGGAGGGCCAAAGCGAAGGACGTCGTCTCTTGTGTTGCAGGTACCACCGGTTTTGGCACGGGGACCGGAAGTCTCTTCGGCTCGACGCAGCCGACGCCCAGCCTCTTCAACAAACCTTTTGGTCAGCCCACCACCGCCCAGAACACGGGCTTTTCGTTCACCAACACCAGCACCCTCGGGCAGCCCAACACCAACACAATGGTGAGGGGGATGAAAGCTCTTCACTGTGGTACACGCCCGTCACATCTTTTGTTGAACTCTGGAAGGGTAGTTCAGACCTTCACGCTGGCACTCAGTCAGGGAACAGCTTGTGGAGACGGATGGAAGAGAATATTTGAGGCTCTCTGAGCTGGGCGGTTTTCTTGCAGACGTTTCATGACCCAACTAGGGAACATCATCAGTGCTAGAGGGGTGGGGGGTTTGCAGAGAAGGAGAAGGAGGAGAGGGAGGAAGAGGAGGACTGTGGGATCCTTGGTATAATCTCAGCTGGGGGGGGGTTTTGCAGACGTTTCATGACCCAACTAGGGAACATCATCAGTGCTAGAAGGGAGGAGGAGGAGGAGGACTGTGGGGTCCTTGGTGCTCTCTGAGCTTGGCGGTTTTCTTGCAGACGTTTCATGACCCAGCTAGGGAACATCATCAGTGCTAAGGTTCCCTAGTTGGGTTATAAAACAATTGCAAGAAAACCACCCAGCTCAGAAAGCACCAACAGCCCACAGTCATTGCCCTTCTTGTCTCCACAATGCCCCTCCCCTCTAGCACGGATGATGTTGCCTAGATGGGTCATGAAATGTCTTTAAGAAAACCGCCCAGCTCAGAGAGCACCAAGGACCCCCCCAGTTCGTCGTCTTCTTCTTCTTCTTCTTCTTCTTCTTCTTCTTCTTCTTCTTCTTCTTCTTCTTCTTCTTCTTCTTCTTCTTCTTCTTCTTCTTCTTCTTCTTCTTCTTCTTCCTCTTCCTCTTCCTCTTCCTCTTCCTCCTCCTCCTCCTCCTCCTCCTCCTTTTTCCTTCTCTTTCTCTTTCTCCTCCTCCCCTCCACAACCCCCCCTCCCTTCCAGCACTGATGATGTTACCCAGTTGGGTCATGAAATGTCTTCAAGAAAACCGCCCAGCTCAGAGAGCACCAAGGACCCCCCAGTCGTCGTCGTCTTCTTCTTCTTCTTCTTCTTCTTCTTCTTCTTCTTCTTCTTCTTCTTCTTCTTCTTCTTCTTCTTCTTCTTCTTCTTCTTCTTCTTCTTCTTCTTCTTCTTCTTCTTCTTCTTCTTCTTCTTCTTCTTCTTCTTCTTCTTCTTCCTCTTTTTCCTCTTCTTCCCCTTCCCTTTCTCCTTCCCCTCCTCCTTCCTCCTTCCTCACCCCCCCGTCCCCTCTAGATGGATGACGTTGCCTAGTTGGGTTATGAAACATCTGCAAGAAAACCGCCCAGCTAGGGGAGCGCCAAGGGCCCCCACAGTTCAGCCCTGAGCTTTTGGACAGTCACTGGACTGAAGTGGTGCAAAGTCTCCTGCTCAAGCAGGGAGTGGGACTAGGCCTCCGAGGTCCCTCCCCGCTCTGCCCTTCCATAAATTCTTCCTTAGCTCAGCTCGGCTGAATCAGC